CAAATCCAATTGACATTATAAAGATAAAATCATGAACAACCTGATATCTTTAAATAAATTGAAAATTTAAGTGAGTTGAGAAACTTCCTAGAAAACTGCAACGTGCAAAAACCAACCAAACAAGGAACAGAAAACCAGAGCAGCACTCTATCTATTAAGGAAATTGAATTTATAATTTAAATCTTCCAACAAAGGAAACTCCAGTCCCAGAAGGCTTCACTGGCATATTCCAATAAATATTTTAAAAAGATAAACACTGCTATTACACATACTTTCCAAAGAACAGAAAAGAGGAAACATACCCAAACTCAAAGTATGAGGCCAGCAGAACCTTGTTACTAAAGGTTAACAAGGATAATAAAAGGAAAACTGTAAGTCGAGCTCACTAATGAGCACAGGTGCAAAAAGTCCTCAACAAAATAACAGCAAAGTGAATTCAATAATATACACAAAAGATAATAAATACATCCTGAAAGTTTGTGTTATTCCAAGAATGTAAAGTTGGTTTAAATTTAAAAATGATCATTAAAACTTAACCATATGAATAAGATAAAGAAGGATCATCTAGTCATAATAAATTTTCAATAGAAAAAGTAATAAATGCAACCTCCATTGAGAGTCATCCATCACCACCCAGACTCTCATGCAGATCCCTTAACCTAAATCAGTTTCTCATTCTCCCCACTCCCCTCATTCTTTCACTGTGACCCTGGAACTCACAGTTCACCCTGGGCAAAATGCCCTATTCAACCTCTTCTCCAAACATTCATTTCCAGAACACAAAGCACAGAGAAAACAAAGAGTTAGTATTACTGCGCTTTATGTTTTGGTTCAGCAGGAGCTGAACCAAAGTTCTTTGAGGGTAAGATTACACATATGATTTCGACTTTTTTTAAATCCTCACTCGAGGATATGTTTATTGATTTTAGAGAGAGAGAGGAAGAGAGGGAGGGATGGAGGGAGAGAGAGAGAGAAGGAGGGAGATCCATACTTTGCCTCCCATATGCTCCCCAACTGGGCATTGAACCCACAACCTTTTGGTGTATGAGCTGATGCTCCAACCAACTGAATCACCTAGCCAGGGCTATGATTTCATCTTTGATAATTTCCACAATGCTTAACTCAGGATACACAGTAGGTGTTCAATAGATAATAAATAAGAAGAACTGTATCTTATGGGTTTACATGTAGCAGTTTTTTAAATCTTCTAAACACTTTACAGGTATCAGTCCATTTAATTCTCAAAAGGACAATTATTATTCCCACTTTACAGATGAGGAACAAAGGCATAAGGAATTAAACACTTTGCCCAGGGTTACACAATTAGTAAGTGGGTGTCAGAGATTCAAATACAGGGCTTGGGCAGCCCAGCCTTCACTACAAGATCCTGTCAAATGCAGACCAACTAGATGGGGCATGTTTAGGAGTTCAGAATCCGAGACAACGGTCTGCATGTTCAACAACAGGGGCTGGTGAATAAACTGTGATAGACTCCTACGTTGTCGCCAAAATGATGTTCTGTGTCTATGTTTATAATACCAAAAGCCATTCGTAACATAACTGAAAAAAGCAAGTTAGAAGACAGTATAATAAACCTGCACATGATCGTTTATAGCAGCCTTACTCAGGACTGCCAAAAACTGGAGGCAAGGGCGATGTCCTTCCAAAGGGGAATGGATACATGATCTGTGATGGATTCACACAATGAAATATTATTCAGTGATAAAAAGAAATGAGCATTTGGCCCTGATTGGTGTGGCTCAGGGACTGGGCAACATCTGTGAACCAAAAGGTTGTGGGTTCCATTCCCAATCAGGGCACGCGCCTGGGTGGCTGGGCAGGCACCCCCCTCTTGGGGGTGTTCCAGAGAGGCAACTGATCAATGTTTCTCTTCCTCTTTCTCCCTCCCTCCCCTTTCTCTGAAAATAAATTAAAAAAATATTTTTAAAGAAATGAGCAATTGATCCATGAAAAGAAATGGAAGAATCATAAAAGCATGGCATAGTGAAAGAAGCCAGCCTGAAAATGCTACTTACTCTTTGATTCCAACTGTATGACATTTCGGAAAAGGTAAAACTAGAAAGACCATAAAAAGATTAGTAGTTGCACCAATCAGAGAGGAAGAGACAATAGGAGCACAGGGGATTTTTAAGATATTGAAACTATTTCCTATGATACTGTCACGGCAGGTACATGACGCTATGCATCGATCAAAACTAAACTTCACAAAGAGCGAACCTTAAAGCTACGGGCTTTCGTTAGTAGTAATGCACCAGTATCGGTCCATCTATTGTTACCAAGTCAACCACACTAACGTAAGATGTTTATAACAGGGAGAACTGTGAGGGCGTCTACAGTGGGTGTAAGGCAACTGCACTCTCTCCTCGATCTTCTGTAAACCTAAAACTGTTCTGAAAACTAAAGCCTATTACTACAAACAAACAGTATAATGGCACGGTCCCTTTCATGTCACTATACCTCTGTGTTTGGGGGCATAGAAACATCTGGAAGGACATAAAATTAATAAGTCTTCTCAAAGCGATAGAATTCATGAGATCTTTCTCTTAGTTCTACTTGTTCTTATTTTCTTAATAAAAATATGCATTAATTTCATGTAAAGGAGTAAAGTGAGGATGCGGAGGGCTGGCCGGGTCCAGCGCAGCCCAGCGTTGGCCCTGCAGAGAATGCAGCTTTCGCCCAGTCCGCTGGGCGACGCCACGCTCGCCATCTGCTCCGCCCACCGCGTCCCTTGGCCTTTCAGCTTAGGTCCCTGAGGCTGGGGGAGAGAGAGAGAGAATTCCTCCGGTGCAATTGCGTCTGCACCAGCAGGACGAGCAGGGGCCGGGAGGGGGCACTGGGGGCTTGGCCTGAGGCGCTGACGCCGGGTGCCGTCCTGGGGGCGTGGCCGCCGCGCTTGCCTGGCCATCAGTGGGCTGGAATGTTCCCGCGGCAAGTGTACTTTGTTCTGGGGATGGGGGAGGGTGAAGCGGGGGCAGGGATCCAGGGCCCCTGGGTCTTGGAGCGCAGCCAGCTTTCCGTTCCCAGGGAGCTGGTGGGGGAGGGGAAGTGTCGTCTAGTTCCCAGGCTGGGCAGCTGCGGGACACCGTCGGAACCCCTGGATTCCAGTGCCAGCCCTGCAGCCGCATGCCTCTGAGGTCGGGTCTCTGAACCTCTCAGGGCCTCAATTTCCTCATCTACAAAACTGAGGCAATAATAATCCGCATAGTTATTCCAGGTACTGTTATAAAGCGCTCTACAACCCTTTGAGGTGGGTGCTGTTAATATAATAACATAGTATCTTATTAATTAGCAAATATTCCCTCACTGCCCAGGCCCTTTGGACAGCACAGATACTCTGGCTGTAGAAAGCCAGAACCAGCCTCCTTCCAGGAGGTGACATGTGCACTATTATTTTTTCACTTCACAGATGAGGAAAGAGAATCTGAAGAAGGTTAAGTAACTTGCCCAAGGACACAAAGTAACTAAGTGGCCATCTTGGCAGTTAACCCAGCCAGACAAGAGCCTCCGCCCTTAACCACTCCGCTCTTAACCAGCTTCAGGAGGCCCTTAAAATCTATGTTTTTGGACGTACTGCAATCCATGCAACAATTTTGAGAGAAGTAGTGTTAATAATAATTATTGATATTAAGAATGATAATTACCACCAGTTGCGGGCTGTGATCCTTGCAACGCCCTATGAGGTAGGTGTCATTGTTAATAGTCCCAATTTAGGGGTGAAAGATCTAGGCACTGGGAGGTCACTCAGTTCTAGGGGGCAAAATTCATTCATCCTGAAGCCAGAGTCCCGCGACAACTTAGCTATTGCCTCCTCTTGTAGTGTTTTATAGGGAGGCGGACTCCTCCAGAGTCAGATTATAGGGGCCAGCCTGGAGGGACAGGCCTTCCTTCTCCAAAGTTTGTGAGAGCCAACTTCGCCTGGTAATCTGAGGAGCTTTGGAGAGTGTAATGAGTCTCAATGATATCTAACACCAGCTGGGGAGCTGCTACTCTCTCTCGGGTCTGCTGCTTCCAGGAGCTCAGCTGCCTAGTGCCTGCGGAAGGATCCTCACCCAGAATCCCGGCAGAGGGCAGGTCAGTTGCCCTGAGCTGTGGATGCTGCGGTTCTCCCTACGTGGTTACCGTTATGTTCCCTTCACTTTACAATCCCTCCGGCACACTGCCTAGAAAGTCATTACTGCACTCCCTCCACATCCCTCACCCTGGGGTTAAGGGGCTGCTTCCCTTTAAAAATGTAAATGCTGATGTTGCTTCTTCATAACCCATCCTCCGTGTACCCTGAACCTGCCACCTTCTGGGAAAGAAGGAAAACTCTCATTCTTCTTCTTCTCCTCCTCCCCCCCGCTCCTTTTTTTTTTTTTTTGAGAATTTTTATGCATTTATTAGAGCCAAATTGACGACATATACTGGGGAGCAGGATCTCAAATGCTCTAAAACTCTCATTCTTTGTAATAGGCCATGTTTGTCGAAGGTGGTTTGGCAAATAGGACGTATTGCTGATGTCATGTGGGTACTCAGTGGGCACTAAATAACTGCTTTGTACCTGTGTCCCCTCTGCCTGCGATGCTCCTCTTCCATTACCTGCCTGCCTCCTTCAGTTTTCCCCTAAGTCGCTTTCGTTGTGGGCCCTTCCCCGACCGCCCGTTTCAGTACATCTCCAGTAGTCCTGGCTCCTTTGCCCTGCTCCGTTCTTTCCCAGGCACTTGTCATTGTCCTGTGCACTTGATCACGTTTGTTTATTGTGTTTATTGTCTGTCTTGCCCCACTAGAAGGTAAGTGCCACGAGGGTAAGGATTTTGCTCTACCTAGTTCATCACTGTATTCTCCAGAGCCTGGAACTGGGAGGAAGGAAAGAAAGAGGGGATAGAAGGAACTTTCTAGGCCATTCCAACCTATTGTGACCACCACTGCCCCCTTGAAGGAATACATATTTCTCATTTTTTAAATATTTTATTTATTGGTTTTAGAGAGAGAGAGGAAGGGACAGAAAAATAAAGAGAGAGAAATGTTGATTTGCTGTTCTACTCATGCATGCACTCATTGGTTCAGTCTTGTATGTGCCCTGACCCGGGACAGAACCCACAGCCTCGGTGCACCGGGACGACACCCTGAGTTACCCAGCCAGAGCAGAATACGTATTTCTTATTCATGCTGTTTATTCAACATTTGCCGTATCGTATCATATCCCCAGGTGGCTTTGCTTGTGGCATCATCCCATTCTGTTATTTGCCTTGGCAGTTGTGTGTCTCATCGGCCTGAACAGACAGTGAATTCCTGCCTCTGGACAGAGAACAAAGGGGTATGATTCTTTGTACCTCCCAGCCCCCGTAACAGGAGCAGGGCCCTTGAGATGCCCCTCCCACCCTCCTTCCCCGACCTTGCCCTCTTCTCTCCCTGTTCATCTCCACTAATATTAGATTTAGCTGCTTCAGTTTGTTAGAAGTTTGATATTTAATGACTTAAGCTAAATAAATTCGCTGAATTTTTTATGAATAACATTTAACATTAGTTAATGGGGGTCAATATGTGAACTATTTCATTTCTTAACATGACACCTATATTCTCTCATTAAATGAAACAGAAAATTCCATACCTTGATGATGTTCTTGCCATAAACTGCATCCTTGATTTTTTTCTTTACTGTTAGGAGGAATTTTTAAAGATTTGTTCAAGTGGCAAGTGAGAAAGAGATGGAGATAATGAGCCGCATTCCTCGAGGTAAGTAAAGCCTGCTGGCCTCCTTTGGTGGTTCCCCCGCCACCCACCCCCTAGCCTTCCAGACAGGGGAATACACAGGTGGGGATTGCCCTTAGTGTTTGGTTTTGTTTGGAAACATACTTTAGCTCTTTTTTTCCAATTACTGTTGACATACAATATTATATTAGTTTCAGGTATACAACATAGTGATTAGACATTTATATAACTTATGAAGTGATCCTCCCAGTAAGTCTAGGACCCATCTGACACCATAGGTCCTTGTTCTATAGCATCACGAATGACTACAGCAAACACCGAATTTGTCCTTCCTCTCTCTCCTTGTGTTTCCCTGGGGTTGGCTGTGATGTGGGCTGGTGTCACATCCAACTCAGAAGTGGAAGGGACTGCTTGAAAAAGACTATCTAGTGAGTGTGATTTTTATTATCTAGGAAAATCTAACAGTGGGCACAAATAAGCATTTACTGTGTGATTTGAATGTGAAATTTCATCATTATATTGCATGAAGTGTGATGGTCTTGGTAACTGGCATCCGTTGAAATTATAGTAACAGGTGCCATTCTGATTGGCTCGATTCTAAGAAAAGTACATCAGAAGGAGTCCTGCATAACTCCTACGAAAAAGAACTTCAGGATCCTCAATTGCTGTGCGGGAGAGACAGGTGACTGGAAAAAAGAACGAGTGGAGGACAGAAAGGTTGACCTGCGCACAGGTGGGCAAACACACACACGTGTGAGTGCGGGGCAGCTGTACAAATCATTGGCTTTGCTGGGACCCAAAGGTCCTTGCACCCACCACAGCACTGGCCGTATGATTTCAAAGATACGGGTTTACATAATAGTCGTCCCTACCAGATTTTGAGCTCCTCGAAGGCAGACAGTTAATTTATCATTTTTTGTATCCCAGACCCCGTGGCCAGTGCCTGGCACCCTGATGGGGGTATCAGTTAGGTTGTCGTTTTGGTGGCTGTTACATGCAGTATCTCATCTGCATGAGGGAGCACAGCAGGCCCACTGTGCGTCCAGCAGGAAGGGGACAAAGGAGGGGAGGGCACACGCACCCTCTTCAAAGAGGACCTGAAAGTTGCACATTTCACTTCCACTTTCATCCTGTTGGCCAGAAATTCGTCGTGTGGCTACACCTTGCTGACGGGTTGCTTGGAAATTTAGTTTCATTTTAGGTGGCCCTGTGTCCATCTAAAAATCAGTGGTTCTAAAAACAGCACAAATGGATATTGGAAGGCAGTCTCTGCCTAAGTGAGCAACACATTCTTATTTGCTAGATGAATATAAACAAATACCTGAATCCAATTCGTATTGCAAGTCTGTATTCTGAGAAAGAAAAGCATTTTGAATCACATAAGTGAAGAAAGCAAAGCAGGACTGATGGATACAGTATGCAATTCTTTGCTGCCCTTCTTTGCTGAGAGACATTTTGTTGAGAGTGGCAAGGGGCCCAGATAAAATGTTACACTTCCCAGCCTCCCTCCAAGTGGCCAGGTGACGCCACTGCGGCCAATGAGGTATAAATGGAAGACTGCTGGAGACCTCTGGGGATGCTTTTGCTTTAATACAAGCATAACTTTCCCTCTTTCTTCTTACTTCTTCTTGATTTCTGAAATACAGATGTGAAAGTGAAGGTGGGGCAGTCAACTTGTGACTGTGAGACAATAAACGGGAAAGCAAGAGCCACATTAAGTTCGACCGTCAAAAGATGGAAAGTAGCTGGGACATTGATGATGTCATGACAATGCTGCCTGACCTTGACTGCCTGCCCCCAGACTTGTCCTTAATGAGAAACAGAAGCGTGCACTTGGTTAAGCCAGGACAGTGGCCTTTGGGTTTTATGCAGCCTAACTGATACATCCATATGTATGTGTGTATATGTATCTGTCTCATGTATATGTATACATACGAAGCTCACTGTGTAGAATAGCTCTGGAAGATGCATATATATATATAGATATAGATATAGATATATATATATTACACATTTTACACAAGATACACATTATATATATATATTTTAGAAAGAGGGGAAGGGAAGGAGAAAGAGAGGAATAGAAACATCATGTGTGCTTGCCTCTCACATGGCCCCCCACAGGGACCTGGCCTGCAGCCCAGGCATGTGCCTGACTGGGAATTGAACTGGCGACCCTTTAGTCGCATCCTGAGCTCAATCCACTGAGCTACACCAGTCAGGGCAAGAAACTTACTTTTTACTTATACCCCTGTATTTTTTAATGAATTGTTGGAATTTATATATTCAACAAAAAAGTGTGGAAATAACACCTTACAATGAATAGAATCAGAAGACACTGTTTCACTGATCAGTGTGATGGTGCAAGAAAGAATGTCCAGCAGGTGTATTATCACAATGTTTTGTTATGTCATCATCAGAGGCAAAGTCATCCCAGGAAATGTACAAGCAGTGGGTCAAGCACTATTCATTAAAAGTAAATTAGGAGATGAGTGCTATACTTCAATAAAACTGGGAGTTCTGGGTGTTGGCTTATCTTGTTTTATTTAAATTAGAGAGACCAAATTGTCTCAGGCTTTAACTTTGTATCTTTAATGTTTTATCTGTTAAGCTAGGTGGAGAGTATATTGTTCTTTGTCTTGTCATTCACTGTATTTTTTTGATTGCCAGGAATATTTCCTAATTTAAAATTAATTAACTAATTAACTGTGAAAACTCATAGTGCATTCAAACACAAGAAAGCATTCTCCTTCCCTTGAATCACTGTGCTCCTTCTTGAGAGGCAGAGACATGGCTGGTTGAGCGAGTGACCCCAAATAGTACCTGACCCACAGCTTACCTCAGCCTCAGCTCACAGCATTACCCCGTCAGTGGCCCCACAAATAGTTGTGGGGAGATAATGAATGATCTTGGTGCCTGTGAGCTGTGATTCTTACACTCACTTTTATTTTCTTCTTATTTTACCCATAGAAAAATTCTGAATATGGAAGGAAGCAGGTGAGATGCATCAAGCACAAAGACCATATCCACACCTAGGACAGGAAGAGCATGACCTGGGAATTATTTCTATTGGGTTGGCCAAAAAGTCCATTTAGGTTTTTTCTGTAAAATATGACTCATTTTTCATTTTCACCAATAACTTTATTGATTTGGACATTTTGAGTATGCTGGCTATCTCCCACATGGTATAACATTGATTGTTCCCAGTTAATGTCTCGATTTGATCATTATCAACCTCAGCTGGTCTACCCGATCCTGACACATCGTCCAGCAAGAAATCTCCGGCATGAAACTTCACTAACCACTTTTGACACGTTCCATCAATCACAACACCTTCTCCCTACACGGCGAAAATCTTTTTTTGTGTGTTTCAGTTGCGTTTTTACCTTTCCTGAAGTAATAAAGCATAACATGCCAAAAATGTGTATTTTCTTCCATCTTCAATATTAAAATAGCTTCACAAAAATTCACCAATTTTGATGCATTTTTTAAAATGCATGGTAATATGATAGCTGTCACAATACAATCTAACAAAATTGTTTCAAATTAAAGACAACTAAGAGCTACTAGAGCCATTGTACGGAAAAAAACAAATGAACTTTTTGGCCAACCCAATATTAGGAGTTGCATGGCAGGGATGATGACCGAGTCAAAAATGACCCAAGGGGGCAAGCGCTCTTTGTTGTAACCATTGTCACATGGACATGTGTGTTTCAGTTCTGTTACCGTTTTAAATACTGTAGTAAAATAAGACCATCTCATGTTCATTCTGCAACTGCATGTACTTGTTTCCTTCCTAATATCATCTGTGGTGTGAAGACATGGGAAAATGAAACTTACTGAAAGATCAATTTAATTTAAATACAGCTTCAAGGGCTTCCAGTCAAGATGGGGGTGTAGGTAAACATGCTTTGCACAACCACAGAGAAAATTACAACTAAATCTTAAAACAACACCCAGAACTGTCAGAAAATTGAATTGTATGGAAGTCCAATAACCAAGGATTTAAAGAAGCCAAATTCATCCAGACGGGTGGCAGGGGCAGAGACACAGAGACAGGAAGGGAGGTGAGGAGATGCAGTGTGAAATGGAGAGGTGGCTGTGGTGGCAGAATGGGTGTTCCCACAATTGCCGTGTGGTAGACAAAAAATGGGAAGAATATCTTGGGAGTGAGCGATCCCAGCCCCAGGCCAGACTGCACAGCCCAGGGTTCCAGTGCTGGGAAGATAAATCCCCTTAAGTTCTGGCTGTAAAAACCAGTGGGTGTTAGGGTGGTGGAAGAAACTGCTGGATTTTCAGGAGATTCCACTAAAAAGGCCTGCCCAGTGTTAGAATGTATGCAAACCCACCCATCCTGGGATTCAGCACCAGGGCAAAAGCTGGAATGGCCCTAGTCACATAAGGGAAGTGGGTGAAGTGAATGGAAACAGGGCAAGTGCCTGGCAAACCTCTAGAAGCCAGGCAGTGGCACAGTCCCCTCACTCAGCCCTCCCCCCATATAGAGCAACAAACCAGTGAAGTGGGTTGCCCCACCTGACAATTACCTAAGGCTCCACCCCACACAATTTACAGGTGATTTTTCTATAATAGGCTATGCTTCTAAGGCAGTGAGTCAAGCAGCTCTACCTAACACACAGAAACAAACACAAGGAGGCTGCCGAATTGAGGAAACAATGAAATATATGGTCCAAATGAAAGAACAGAATAAAACCCCAGAAAAAGAACTAAATGAAATGGACATAACTAACTTAACAGATAGAGTTCAAAATGCTGGTGATCAGGATGCTCAAAGAACTCATTGAGTATGGAAACAACATAAAGGAAGAAATGAAGGTACACTATGTGAAATAAAGAAAAACTTACAGGGAACCAAGTGAAGAGAGGAAGCCGGGAATCAAATCAACAATTTGGAACATAAGGAAGAAATAAACATTCAACCAGAATGG